GTGTCTGACTATGTGTAGCCTTGGCTGGTTTGGAACTCACTATGTAGATCAAGCTGGCCTTAAAATTATAGAGATCTGCCTGCCTCTGCCTCCTAAGTGTTGAGATTAAAGGCACTCATCACCATGACTGTGTTTAATTTTTTATATATTCAGTTCCTTTGTTGGAAGGGTGGTGGGTCAGTGGTCATGCTATATAGCTCAGAACTAGAACCTGAAGTCTGATTAAGATATACTTAGTTGGTTTCAATTTTTAGTTTATATAAACAGTGCTTAGTGATTGTTTCATGTAGGTCTTATTCTTGAGATGTATACCAGGGCAACTGGGATTTCTCATGTTTCAAGGTTAGGTATGCTTATATATTAGCTATTATCTTTCCTTAGTCACAAAACTGTCTGTCTTATCTATCTCCAACACATATACACATAAACTTTTTTTTCTGGGAACATGGCTGTTTGTGTGATTTGTTTTTTTGTTTTAGACTACTCTAGTTCAGAATAGTCTAAATTTTGTAGTACATTTTCCAGAAAGCTAAAGTGATGTGCTTTCTCTTGGTTCATTGCTGTAGTCTTTTTTCCCACAGTTCTGTAATTTATTTGAAGAAATTTGATTTTTCAGTAGGTTCCAGGAAGAAGGTGCATTTTGGTAGCATACATGATGCAGTACGGGCTGGAGATGTCAAGCAGCTTTCAGACATAGTGGGACGTGGAGCCAACCTTAATGAAGTGGATGTTCTCCATCAGTTTACCCCTTTACATTGGGCAGCACACTCTGGAAGTTTGGAGGTAAGAATCTATAACTACTGTTAAACTAAAATAAATTGATAATGATAGTTTTATAAATTTAGTATACAGGGATAAGGTTTCATGCTTGACACTCAAAATAATCTTTTCAGTTCAATCTTTTATTTGAGTGATCTTTAGTAGGGCTTCCTAACAAATTACCTGAAAATGCCGTGTTGTGAAGTAGCCATTTTTAATGCTCATGAGTGAGCTAAGAGGTTGAATTGCAGTGACAGCTTGTCTTTGCTCCATAATGTCTGGGAATGTTTAGTTAGAAGGCTGAAAGACCACAGCAGGGGATATAGCTCAACGATAAAGCACCTGCCCCCGGTACATGAGACCCTAGGTTCAATCTCCAGTACTGAACTAGTGTGCTGAGGCTAGACACTCCTGAAGCCTCATTCACTCAGATAGCTAGTGATTGATGCGGGATAGAGACTGAGTACTTTAGTTCCAAGTAGGTTTTTTGCTGAGTTCTCTCCTGGAGCTAGTTTGTACTTTACAATACGGTAACTAGGTTCTAAAGACAAGCAGAGAGGCTAACTTGTAGAGCATGACAATGAACCCATGCTCATGTTTTGCATAGAATTTAAAGTCCCAAAGAACATTTCTTAGGCGTCATTCCTCTCCAGAAAGTTAAGTATTATACAGGGTGGGCATTTATCAGTCTTTTGATTACTGGACTTCAATACTTTGATAGCTGGACCTTTGTAGTCAGCCTCAGGAGGAGAAAGTGGCCAAATAAGGAAACAGACCTTGGCAGCTAGCTTTAGGAATGTAATCTAACGGGTTTTAGCAAGGCAGAGGGAATGGGGGAGAAGGGCAAGGCCTACGAGAGCCATGTTTGCCATGCGCGGGCTGGCTAGTGCCCCTTCAGTACCCATTCAGCTTCATTGATTACTTTCATTTAATCATTTTTAAAGTTTTTAAAAGATATTTTATTTACTTATGTTTTAGACAAGGTCTCACTGTGTAGCCCTGACTGTCCTGGAACTTCCTATGTAGACCAAACTGGCCTCAGACTCAGAGATCTACCTGCCTCTGCCTCCTGAATGCTGGGAATAAAGGACTGAAATCATGACACACTATTTCTGATACTGGTTTTCCCAAGTTGTTGGCTACTGAGGTTGGGATTTTTCTCTACAATATGCTTGAGTCTAGTGTTCACTTTGTTCACTTCTAAAGAAAATGACCCTCTGGTAGGAAAATGGAACTATATAACCAAGTAGATCTGCACTATGAAGCTATGGGTAGGGAAAGCTATTGCCCCAGGTAGAAACAAGCCCTTTCCTTTTCTTACTGAAATACAGTAGCTTTTCTTTCTGTTTCCTTTAAAAATCTTTCTATTTATGTGTATGTATACATGTGTGGATAGTGTGCACATGTGTGCATGTGTCTGAGGAGACCAGAAGAGGTCTCCTGGAACTGGAGTTCTAGGCAGGTGTGAGCAGGTGTGAGCCACCCAGTGTGGGGACTGAGGACTGAACCCAGTCCATTTTTCTTTTTTCTAATAATTACTGTTCTTTAGATTGATTTTATTTTAAGTGTGTAGGTACTTTGCCTGCATGTATGTCTGTGTACCATGTGTGTGCCTGGTGCCCACAGAGGTCAGAAGAGAGCATTAGATTCCTTAGTATTGGAACTGTGGATGGCTGTGAACCATCATGTGGGTGCTGGGAATTGAACTCGGATTCTTGCAAGAGCAATCAGTACTCTTAACCGCTGAGCCATCTCTCCAGCCCCAAATAACATTTTTATTAGTTGTCCTAATTGGATATTCATGGGAAATGAATGCGAACCTTGACCCATACTAGGCTCCATATAGTATTTATCCAAAATAGATCATAACTAAATATAAAACTTGTAAGACTTATATAAAAGCAGGACAGAACCTTTACAAACCATATACTTGACTAGAAATCATATCCAGTTTAAATAAGGAACACTTAGAACAAAACAGTAAGAAAATAAATGTGCAAAAGTTATTAGACATTTTCTCAGAGAGAATGTGTGGGCTGGACGGCTATTGAGCCTTGCAATAAGTTCAACATTATTAGCCATCAGAGAAATACAAATTAAAATTACAGTGAGAAGCCACATATACATAGTAACAGTGAAAGAGAAAGTGAAAAATTCCCAAATGACAATGCCTTGCCTAAGAATGTGGAGAACAGAAACACTCATGCATGGTGAGACGGTAAAATAAAATAGACACTCTGGCAGACATTTGGGAACTTTGTTATGATGTAAAACATACATTATTCCTGTGTAACAGCACTTTTATTACATATTTATTCAAGAGAAATGCTAAAGCAGCATGTGAGTGTTTATGGTGGCTTTAATTTCAAGGAGCTAAACAGTGCTGACACATAGTCATTTCTCCACAAATATTTGAGGAATAAATGATGGTTAGTCAGGTTGAGCTCCTTTAAAAAGTGGACTAGGAAGAGAGCTCAGCAAGTAAAGGTGCCTGTTGCCAGACTTGACGACCTGAGTTTGACCCCTGGAACCCACATGGTGGAAGGAAAGAGCTAGTTCTCACGAGTTGTCCTTTGACTTCCATATGTAGGCATGTGTGAATCATGCAGACAAGACAATGAATAAATATAATAAAAAAACTATAAAAAAGAGGGCAGTGTCCCAAACATCCAAGCTTATTTAAATAAACATTTAAAAAAATGACAAAATTTTTTGTTGGTCATTAATTTTGGTGGCCGACAAATGATGCCTAAATGATAAGTCTTTTAGTAAATTGCAGGTTATGAGGGATGTGGAAATGAGTCAAAGATAGTCAATTCTTTTAAAAGGAAAAGTGCTTCTTTGAAGTAGAATGTGTGATGTTATTTAAAGATATTTAAAGATTAAACACCAGATGCTGCACAGACGTCTAGGTGCAGTAGTAAGGTGAGATATAGGTTAGTTTAAAAACTCTCAGGTTTTAGTTCACTGACTGCTCTTCCTTTAAAAAAAAAAAACCCTATTATAGGTATTTTTAGAGATACTATCGCAGTAACAGTGTTTGTTTTGATACAGAAGTTTCTGGATCCATTTAAAGATTTGTAGTAGAAGTTAGGCATAGTGTTAAGTGCTAGTTATGGACTCCCAGCTACTCAGAAGAATCAGGCAGGGAATCGTTGGAATCCAGGAGTTCAAGACCATCTTGGACAACATTGCAAGATCACAACTCTTTAAAAAAAAGATTTATTTTAATTAGGTATATGAGTGTGTGTCTGTGTGTGTGTCCGTGTGTGCGCACGCGCGCTGGGCGGGGGGGCGGGCATGTGAGTGCAGGTGCTGACTGAGGCCAGAAGAGGGTGTTGGATTTTCGTGGAGATGGAGTTAGAGGCAGTTGGGAGCTCCCTGACATTGGTGGTGGGAACTGTGCACCTATCTCTAGGAAGAGCAGCAAGTCCTGCTGAGCCATCTTTCTAGCTCTAGAAGAGAAGAACAAAAAAGATAATAGTGACTGCAAATTGGCAGCTCTTGAGGAAACTTACTCACAGATTGGTTTTGTTTGGCATGTACAAAATTAGCCAAGTGGTGTATTTATTGGACCAGCATTTATTTCACTCACAGCAAGAAATGTCTATAACTTAGTATCAAGTGTACCTGGTAGACAAGGAATGTGGCTTTCAGTTTGCTATAGTTTTTATTACTTTCTCTTACCTGACAGTGAAGCCAGATATTGGTTGCTATGCCACTGTGTTTGTGCTTTTGA